GCAGGATGAGGTCTTTAGCATCTCCATTGATATAATAGTAAAAATACATATGATTAAAAGTTTATAAAACATACACAAAACCTTTCGACAGATGAGGTTGTCTTGCTCATCTTTAAAACTAATGTTTGAACAAAAAAGGACCTCAAGAGGAAAACAAGTCTATCCTGTCAAATATCTCAATGTTTGTATAGGAGTATGCTTATGTGATTTGTAATTTTTTATTATTTAGGCCACAGTTTTTGTAATATTGAAATGAACGTGATTATATAACACACAAAAAAAAACGATAGCAAACGAAGCTTACAGAAATGTCTATAAAAAGCATCCACCATTCTGTGATTAGCTTTGTCTTGAAATGTGTTCTTTATATCTTCGAGAAGAAATAGTTATCGTAATTTTTTTTTTACCTAAAGTTCATTTTAGAGAAATATATTTTCACACAACTTCTCACACTACGAAACATCTATAGCTTTTCTTCACACATTTAATACCAATGTAATGAATACTAAATAAGAATAAAATTTAAATTCGATGTATTTCCGCACAGTCCCTGAAAGTGTTCTGTTTCAAGAGAAAACCAAACCAAAATTAATAGTAACAAATTTTTATATTTCTTGTTTATGAAATTCATGTGTCATGCTGTGTTGTAACCTACAGAATGCATAATTTCTCTCGTGATTCATGGCATGCGCACGTTTTAGTGACGTCACGACAATACATATGGCTATGTTAAGCGTTCCTTATGTGACGTAATTTTAGTGTTTACTAACTGACTGACAGACAACACACTACTGTATAGTGGTGCGAGTGGTGAAAACAGGTGACCCCCTCCATGCGGCCTTCGGGCCCCTTTCGGGAATATTAAACGATTATTCGCAATATTTCAATATAATTACCCCACAGTGGCTCAGCAGTAAGTCAACAGGCTTACGACGCTAGAAATCGGGCTTCGATACTTGGGGTAGGCAGAGCACAGATAACTTGTGTAGCTTTATATTTAACTACAACCAAACTAACAATGTAAAAAGTCACTGTGTGCAGAATACAGCTAAACAAACGAAACGGCCCGACATGGCCAGGTGGTTAGGGCGCTTGACTCGCAATCTAAGAGTCGCGGGTTCGAATCCCCGACCCACCAAACCTGCTCGCCCTTACAGCCGCGGGGGCGTTATTGTGTGACGGTCAATCCCACTATTCATTGGTAAAAGAGTAGCCAAAGATTTGGCGGTGGGAAGTGATGACTAGCTGCCTTCCCTCTAGTCTTACACTGCTAAATTAGGGACGGCTAGCGCAGATAGCCCTCGTGTAGCTTTACGCGAAATTCATAACAAACAAACAAACGAAAGTTAAATGCTTTGTCTTCTTTGCTAAATAACTGCTAGAAAATCACATATAGAGTATACAGAGTTGAGTAGTTATATTGAATTTATTTTGAATATACAAAACAGCAACGCACATGACATCTATAGCCAACATAAAGTCGCGGAGAACGGAATGTATCAGAACTACATTTTGAAATAGTTTGGAGTTACGATGCCAACTAAAATTGATCTCTTTTGGGAAGGGTATGTAACAGCCCTTTCTGGCACTCCCAGACGGATCAACTTGGGAACTCAGGACCATCCAGAAAGAAATCTGCAACAAGTCGTACCTCAGCAAAGTGTGGTGTCTTGTAACAGGTAAGAATCCAAGAACACAAAGATTAGTGGCAAAAGCCGTCCACGTGCCCTAGTACGCAACATGATCAAAAAGAATTTCTGTCTCGAAATAAAGCCAATAGGGTATGGTCTCATCAAGATAAAGCTTCCAGTAATACCTTCCGTCCAACCGTCGCATACCTAAAAGGGTATTCTTGCTGTTCCATTAAAACATACTGATCGTGTTGCCAGACTTAGATCTTATGGATTTCTGTGCAGTTAGACTGTTGAAATGGGCACTAGGAAATTATCGTCCCCTCACACCATATGGGTTATGCAAAACTCGCAGGAAGGAGTTGTGTGCTTTGGACATGACAACCTTATGATAACATCCTTGTTTTGACCTGCTAGCTAACACGTGATTTTGCTTGCAACTTAGATAAATGTTTATCTCGCTTATTAATCCTTTTATTTATATAATAAAGCATCAAACACCGAAAGGATCAAACAGCAATTCTAACTCTCAGTGGTCATTGATCTATACCCGAAAATAATATTATATGAAACTATATATATACTAGGAGTGGGCCCGGCATGGCCAGGTGATTAAGGCACTCGACTCGCAATCTGCGGGTCGCGGGTTCGAATCCCTGTCACACCAAGCATGCTCGCCCTTTCAGCCGTGGGGGCGTTATAATGTGACGGTCAATCCCACTATTCGTTGGTAAAAGAGTAGCCCAAGAGTTGGCGGTGGGTGGTAATGACTAGCTCTAGTCTTACACTGCGAAATTCAGAAACAAACAAACAAATACTAGGAGTGTGTATCTCATCATAGTAGTCGATACGATACGTATCTAGATACAGAAGTTTTACCAATAGTTTGTTACA